AATCACCTCGACACCTATTTAGGCAGCTCTTCATTTCAGTGCTGTGTCAGAAACTGGCAGTTTTAAGAGGACTAAGAAACATAGCATTTTAGTGCTTTACATTTTTTTAAAAATTGACAATCTGTTTAGAAATGATTTGTCAAACCTCAAATTGTTGGGGAAATAAACACGGCTTTGATGGGTAAAACATTATTTCTTATAGCACCAAATTTAAGCATGAGAACATGAAATTCCCTATGATAATCTAAAACTAGAAAAAAAAAAGGTCACACAAAATGTTGAGCAGGTATAGTTTATGCTTCAAGAGCTAACCTAGCAAACTCCTATTCAAGTCTACGCTGAGTATGTCCAATGAATCTGACACCTAGTTTGAGTTGTCAGTAAGCATCTTAACATTTGCTGTGTGTGTTTTACAAAATGAAAGTAAAATATGTAACTATATGTAATATATGTAACTATAAAGTTACTTTACAAGAGATTTACAAGGAATGATGATTAATTATATTTTACCATTTCATAATTAGCCATACTTGTTCTTATACTTCATATTTCGTGGCTCTAAGATTTGTTATTATTGGTTTTTAATAACAGATAATCAACAATTCAGTAGGGTCCTAGAGGAAGGCAGGAGTAGGGGGACGGAAGGATTGGAAGGCCAAATTTTGCTTTCAATTACATTTTCCCTACTAAATTTAATTGTATGTGATTATCTTTGTTTTTATTCATCTGTTCTTCCAAGTACATGCCTTAGCGCTTTTGTGGTTAGTTCTTAGAAAGATTATTGTTGCTAGAGTTATCATCATTGGTTGGTGCTCTTAATATTCTTCAATGAAGTTCTTATTTGAGTTCTAGGATCTTGATTGATTCTATCGCATTCCACTCTACATGTGAAGAAAGCCACTCTGACCAGTTTAGGTTGACGCTCATCATATTTGGTTAATGTCACTTTTGGTACATTAGTATTCATCTGGTACTTCCTGCCATTGTTTATTTGAAACTTCATTCTTTCTAAATAGAAGTATTTAATACTACACTCTAGTTAGGATACCTGTTTAGTTTGCCCTTCTAAGGTTTACATGTAAAAGTCTTTATGTACCATATCTTACTTCAGCTTATATAACATTATCACTCACTGTATCTGGGAGTTTATGGTAATCCTCTGCTTTCTTTTTTGTGCTTCTGTAAGCTCTAGTTTCTGAGTATTCTCATGTTTATCATTGTAAATAAGCTGTATTCCAAATTCCACTAGAATATAATTTTGTATCATCTTGTTGAGATATACCACCTCGCCCTAATTTTGTCTTATTTACCATTATTTTTAGCAAAGTTTCACCTGATATAGAACCTAACCTACTATGAATCAACTAGTAAACTTAAAATTAAATATTTATTCTCTTATGGGAATTGGAAGCTCGGGACAGGGAGAAATAATGAATGCATCTTTATGGTTTAGCTTTAGTCTAATGATTTCAAAAGCTGACAGCATACAAAAGAACTGTGGAAGGGCTAATGAACATGACACAATCTTACCTGTTGCCAAAGCATAAGCACTAATCTTCATAAAGTTCATGTCACACAATTTAATGAATTAATTTCTCACTGCACATTTTATTCATCACCTCTACAGAAAATGTGGGATTTGCATGTCTCCTTCTGGTTAGTTAACATTGTCTCTAAAAATAAATCACAGTAATATATTGGCATGCACTGCCTGTGTGACTCCTAAAGCAGAACAAGGGGCAGAAAAGGGATGATAATTCCTTGGGTACTTTTCACAATACTAGTCTGATAAGATGCCCCAGGACACATGGCTTTACACCATGGCAGATTTAAACAGATTTGTAAAGGGGTCAAGAACTGAAGAAATCGGGCAGGTCAGAGAGTTCAGAGGATTAAAGAGACTGCTTAGGCAGATGCAGGGACGGGGGTAAGCCCCGCCCTCAGGTGCACTGAGATGGCAATTGAGACTGGGTGCAGCAATACCCACCTGTAATCCCAGGACTTGGGAGGCTGAAAACAGGAGGATCACTATGACTGTGATCTGTGTAGTGAGACCCTATAGACCCTGTACTAAAAAAAATATAATAATAATAATTAAAAAAACCTGAAGAAATCTCTTTATCTAGTCAACTGTAGAATTCTGCTCCCTTATCTTCTTTATTTTCAAAATGTTAGTTAAAATTCCATAGACTATTTTAAGAAATACAAGAACATGCATCATATTACCTTATTTATTTTTAAATGTTAGTTAATATTCCATAGACTATTTTGAGAAACACAAGACCATGGATCATAGAATGGAAGTGGGAAATATTAATGAAGCCAATAGAGAATTTATTGATTCACAACATATTTGAAAGCTTTATTTATTGGTTCTTTTCCCTTAGCATAAGAACATTAATCAAAAAGGTACTTTCCTAGAAAACAGGGAAAGATTTAACAGAGGGTATTAATCTATTTGTGAAGGCAAATATTACTTCTTTTTAAAGCACTCAGTATATTTAATTCTCAGCACGTCTCAGTGGTTGCTTGCAAAAGGATAAATAATAAAGAACCAGAGTTTCCAAAAGGAAATTATTGAAAATATTGCCTAGAAAAATATATAATTTGTCAAAAATGTTATGTATGGCCTAGAGGCTATGTTTGTCAAACCACTTCTTTAGGCAAAGGGTATTCTGGTATGTGTTCTAAGGGTGTCTCGAGTGGACAGTAACCTTAGTTCAAGGCCACAGTATTTGCAACATAAATGTAGCTTTCTTTTAGATACCTGATTTTTATATAACATATTTTTGAAATATATATATATGTATACATATATGTATATATTTGAATTAATAAGCATAAAATCAAATATCTTGATGTCTAGGTAAATATCACATATACTGGCCAAAGGAAAACATAAACACAGAACCTCAGAATCATCCTGTATCTGTCTCTGGGATGCTAGCTGGACAGGTTTGTGGCATTCCTATCCACCAGATTCCTTCTTTGTTTTACAGAGATGAAGGAAAAAGGCAATCTGGAGATTATGCTTCAGCATTGAGATAAAAAAAGAGTTTGAGAGTTTGTTGACTCCCCCCCACCTAGATTCTCAATATGTATTTCTCTTTAAATTAAAAAATATCGATTTTCTATTATTATATACTTGGATTGCATATTTCTGTTGCAAAGTGTTTTTAAAATTTATTTTATTGATTGATTGATTGATTGATTGATATTTAGGACAGAGTGTACAGGGTGTACAGAGTTTCACTGCATACATGGGACTCTCAGGGACTCTCCTGTTTACAGCCTCCCAAGAGCTGAGATTACAGTCTCGCACCACTATACCCAGTCTCCAGTGCCCTCCCAGCAAGCCCCAGGGGCGGGACCAGCAAGGCAGGCCAGGGGATCAAACGCACGGCCCCTGCGTCTGCCTAGGCAGGCACTTTATCTGCAAGCTATTTGGCAGGCCTCTTTCTTACAAAGTTTAGAATGAACTCTACTTCTCTCCTCTGTACAAGAGATTAATTTAGAAGTTGAAGCTATTTAGTATTTTTATAAATATTTTCTGCAATGTTTATTTGCAATTTTCTAACCAATATATAATATTCAAGGGTACATATCATATTAACTAATCTTTCTTATAATTCTTTTACCATGTGCAGATGTTTAGATATACAAGATAATTTCATAAAACAATGGTTGGTTGTAATTGTTCTACCATTGATCACAATGGCTTTCCCCCATTTCCCACAGAAGTCAAGTATTCAGAGGTGCCTTGGGTCAGGTACTGGATTGGAAGAGTGCTACACTTATCCCTGGACTAATCCCTGGATGAACGTGCTGCTAAATGTAGGGTATTGTGGGAGGTGGGTCACCTGGAAGGGCTTACCCTTGTCTCCAGCTGTACTCTCCTCTACTTCCTGGGTGCATGAGGTGAGCAATTTTTGTCCAACAGGCCTTATCATTGTCATTTTTACATCAGAGCCAGCAGACTATAGACTAAGCTGAGAGGCAAAATCAATCTTTCTTCTTTAAATTTCAGGGGTTAGATATTTTATTCTAGCAATGGGAAAGTGGAAATATAGTATATGATGTATTTTTGTCTTTCATTTACATGCTATAAATCCCCATTTCTCCATATTAATGCCGCTTAATTGTTCATTAACAGTATCTTATATTTAAGTAATGTGGAATTCTAAAATATATTTTTTAATTTACCATGTGTTTGGAAATTTAGCTTTGAATTGAATGATGTAGGGTTGAAATTTTCTTTTTTGTAATTATATTTAATTAATTAATTTATTATTGAGACAGGGTCTCAGCATAACTTAGGCTGGACCTGAACTCACTATGTAGACCAGGCTGGCTACAAATTCACGGTGATCCTCCTGCCTCAGCCTCCCAAGTGCTAGGATTACAGGAATGCATCATGACACCTAGTGTGATTATTAATCTTAGAACATGAAAATTTTAATTGTTTTGGAGAGAATCCAATTCTATGGTTATAGTTCACAATGAAAAATAATGAAATATTTATGAAATATCACTAAATTTAATGTTTTCTTTTGCTATCCAGTCTAGAAAGTAATTTTTCAGCATCAAAACTTTTAAATGAAATTTGTAATTATTCCAAAGAAATTAGGAATTATGGATTTGCTCCCAATTCTCATAGTTACTTACACTTTTCAAGTAATTAAAATAATTCTGTAGATAAAATATCTCTGTGATATGTACGTGCCGATCATTCTAGTGTAAGAAATTAATAGATCAGGAATGTAATGCTCATAGAGTAGAGTATCATTTTAAATATCTATTGCACTCATTTTTGGTGTTTTTTAATTACTGATGTAAATCAATATATCATACTTATAACTTATCAACTCATGTCTCAGAGAATGAGATTAGCCTTTGGTTATAAAATATTGATGTGGAATTCTGAAAATGACACAATGGTCTATTTCTGGCTTTTCTCAAGCAAGCTTGCTTTATATAAATGGCTTTTTTACAAATTTGAAATGTGAATATATTTTATTTTTCCCAGTGAGTACACAATACACAATTCTTTGACAATACTACGGACCAATTTTTATGCCCATGTCTTTGCCAATCTAACAACATCAAATGAAACACAGTAAGACTTTAGACACTTTTGGTGACTTAAGCAAACTACAGTTTAAAAAAAGAATCTACCTATAAAACGAAGTATAACAAAATCTGCCACCGCCACAAACCCCTTATCTTGCAATACTTTTAAAGTTACGATAAATGCTTTTGATGTCATGAAATTAAAGAAAACCAGTAGGCCACTTAAAAGTGAATGGCATTTCATTTGACGCACACAGTATAAAACAGCAAAATGAATATAACTTCACCTCTAAGATAATGTGGAAAACATGTTGGCTGACAACAAGGCTTGTCATGTGGTTCTATAAACACAAGGTACAGAAGTAGATGAGGAAACTAACATTAGTGACTCTTGTGGTTTTGCATATTTTTAATACTGACACACAATCACTTTCCAGTGGAGGTAACCCACAGTTTAGAGCTCATTGGCATTGTTATTATTTTATTGTCAAGGGACAGTTACACAAACATATTGAAGTGAAATTGGGAGGTGTTTCATCAAAGAACATACAAATTTTGAACTAAATTCCACTGAAAATATATTTAAATACCCATAGCTTTCAACTATGACATAGAACAGTATGAATTTTGTTTTGTTACTCAAAGTAAGTAAACCTGCAACGGCTCTATTTCCTTTTGGTTGTGTGATACCTTACACATTGGTCTTGACTTTCCTAGATTCTTAAACTGGACTCAGATTCTGTGAAGGAAGCAATTGCTTTCACGCCCCTGCATGATCCAGTTTTAAAATGGCATGGCAAAGGTTTGCAGGGGGGCAAGTTGACTCTACCACATACACTAGCAAACCTGAGTTTGGGCACTGAGAAATAGTCCCTGCCTGTTCTGATTGCATGTGTCTGGCCTGACTGCATAGACTTATTGCTGAAGAGTGCAAGATAAGATAACTTTCTCTTCCCCCATCTCCCTGTGATTCTGTATGTTGGCCTCTATGTTGTTTAGACTTACAAAGAGTGAACTCAGTAAATTTCAAATCACATTCATTTAATCAGCCACACAAAGGAAAACCACGGTGGCTGTTACACAGATTTCTATCCTATTGATATTCTGACTTCACTGATGGTAGCTTTTTATGTGTAACAAGTTGATAAAAGCTTTTATTTTTGATATGGTTCCTAAGTTCATATAGCTATACCATATAATCTTCCATACGAAGATACTGTGTATGTGGGATGCCATACTTGACAGATTAATTTATTTAAAATAAGATTAACAGGTAATATGGATTATTCTAAAAGAATAGTCCAAGTAACCACAAGGTCTGTATTAACATATTTTAAAGATTTTTGTGTACTGAAAATAATCAGAAAAAGCTATGATGTCATGCCCTGCATAACATCTGGACAAATCATCTGAAAATCCAAAATACAACTTTGAAGTCTTATTAATCATCTACCAGTGCCGGTTACTAAAGGTAAAGGCAAAGTGTAATATGCATAATATACTGAAGTTTTAAACTAAATTCCATTACTAAGTGTAATAAAAGAAGAAAAAAAATGAATAAGACAATTCAGAATTATGCTTTTAAATGCAGGAAGGTGAAGCAAAGAACTACACAGACAATGAAATACACCTAAGAGTTGTGAATCATCATGTATCATTGTTGCAAAATCTTTTCACCTTTCCAAGTCTCTGTCCCACAGAGAAATCAAACTGCATTAAAACTCAGGCACTGAGTAGAAAGTCAGTGGAGGGCTTACTAAGTATGTCTGAAACTTCTTCTTCAGTGAAGAAATGAACAGTGTGGCACCAAGAATGTGGCGGGATCTTCAAGAACTCCGACATCTATGTCGCCTGTGCTGATGCTGATGTTGATACAGTCTCAGAGAATAAAAGTGCTGGAGCATTTAATGGCATCACCCCCTAGCTACATTACGCCAAAAACACAGTGAGTTGAAATGCCATCGGGGGGGGCTTTTTAGAATTTATTCTGGTCATCACACTCAGCAATTTTCAACCTACTAACTACTGAACATTAAGAAAAAGCCTTAGAAAATGTAGGCAGAATTTGTGTTTAAAATAGTGTAGGTGGCCCATGAGAAAATGTGGGAATGACAAGAATCTTCTACCTTCCTGGTTGAATATACATGTACAGTAACTTCACAGATTCCAAAGCCACATGTTTTGAGTGTACAAAACTCATGTTCAGAAACTCCTTATTCTCAAAGTTATGAAGACAAATGAGGCAGGACACTGTTATTAATGTCCACTTACAAGGTTTGGTTTTATTTAAAAAGTGTAAGAAACATGCATTTTTCTCCTTTTCAGTTTTCTTTTCAATTTACTCATTCAAAGTGGGTCAAACAGATTTTAATTGGTAGCCAATTTCTGAGAATGTACCAAAAAGTATTTATTCCAACAAATCTACTTATTGTGACCTGAACATACTCAGAGCACTGCTTTATGAGCACTTACAATTTCGCTATACATCTGGTGGCAAATTGACTTCATTTCTTAATCAAATGAAACACAAAATTGTACGTAGACTGATTAGTTTGATAAAAGTCTTGAATTTAAGTGATGCAGCTCTAACCTCTATTGTGTACTGTACATGTATTAGAAAGATGAAACAGGATATTGCAATAGAGTTCATATCTGGGAGCAGCCTGACTAGGTCCTAATAATAAATAGCTTCTTTAACTATTTTCGAGGTACTCTAGAGTTCATTTTGTTTGTCTCCTTGGGGAGCTTCATGTTATATTCTGACTTAATGAGTTGGAAAGATTAATTATGATAATTCACAAAATGCTATTTAAAAACTGTAGTATAAATACAGCTCTTGTGAAACACCTTAATTTTCTTTTGCTTCTTGTAACTCTCAGGTGGGTCAATTAGAACCACAGGTAAAATTGATTCTAAACAAAACATTGTGTTTTTTAAAGCAAGATCAGTTCATCTTTGCTACTTGCATATTTTAGTGCCTATTCAGCCTAAAGATTTCAACTTCCTTCCACTGACCCCTTCTGTTGTCAACAATAAAAGCTTTATAAATCGACTCACTTCCTGATTCAAAGAAGACTTTGCCAGTACCATCATTGTTCCATTGCATCTTGCTATTTCTACACCCCAACTGAAAGCCATCTAACGTGATGGGTCACACCAGTATCATCCAACTAGCTTACAGTACAGAAACTCCCTTCACATTCAACCTTTCTTCATGTCTTGAGGAGTAGAGATTTGTGCTTATCACCAAATAAAATCGCAGTGCAAAATTTAAACATAAAAGTTACACAATCAAAAGTTAATATATGGCAACACAGCCTATTAATTCACATATAATACAACAGACCATTAAGAACAGACAAGAAGATGAACAGAGCTAAAAAGAGGGAGCTTGCATAGCAATGCACAAAAGAAATTATATACAGAGGAAAATCCTTTTCTTCCTGGAGGGTGAGCTTTTGAGTTTTGCTTTCTTTCTTTTGTTTATATACTCCTGACAAGAAAGAGTTAAGGTGGGTGGTATACTTAAGAGAAGAACACAAGGAAGATATCTGCGGGATATGTGTGGCTGTGTGTCTTTACATTGCATTTACAGTTCTTTTAATAGTACATAAATAAAAGAAATTGTTCATTGCACTGTTAGTGTCATGACTTCCATGAGTTCAGACCTGGTGGTCCTCAGAGCAGCTTGGGAGGTCTCCTCTCAGTTACTCTGGAAAGAGAGAAGAAATCAGCAGTCAGAGGTGATGCTTCCACTTAAGGATTCTTCTTTCCTGAACAGTACAGCTGACATCAGGGCAACCAGCTAATTGCTGGAGATCAAATCATCCGATTCGATGAGTTTGTGAATTTAAGTAATTTTACTGGCAGGTTGGAAACATGGAAAGGAAGACAAACACTGTAGAATTTAAACTTTTAAAATGCAAAAACCAGTGTGTTTTAATGATCCTTGTCAGTCTATCATTATTTCAGACAAAAGTTAAAGAAAAATCTGACTAGCTATAAATTAAAAATGACAAATAATTTATAATAAACACATTCATAATAGCTTGAAATAACTCAGATGAATAAAACATTAGTTTGAAACTGTTTTGCCTTGTTATCTCATGAGTTTTCCTAAACACTATGCAATGTGAGCACAATAGTAACCTTATTTTTCTACACAAAACAGATACCAGGAAAATAGCTTATTTTCTCATGTGACATATTCAGTTAAGTAGCTGAGGGTACTGCAACTCATCAGTGTTCTCTCAGCAGAGATTTTAAGCTGAATTTAAAGAAGCAGATGAAGGGCCAGCCAAATAGCTCAGCGGATTAAAATGTCTGCAGCAGGTGCAGGGGCCAGGGGCTCTATCCCTTGGCCTGCCATGCTGGCCCCACTACTGAGGTGCCCTGAGATGGCAATTGAGACTGGGTGTGGTGGTGTGTGCCTGTAATCCCAGCTCTTGGGAAGCTGTAAACAGGTGGATCATTACAAGTCGGATCTAGAAGTGAGACCCTGAACAACCTGCAGACAACTTCCCTAAAATTCAAAAAAATAAAAAATAAATAAAAAAAATAAAAAAACCAAAAACGAAGAAGCAGATGAAAATACTAAGGGTATATAATCCTGACATAGGTTAGAGAAATAGCAAATTTCCTGATGACATTAACAGAAAGATCCCACTTTTCTTTGACACACTGGTATTTCTATTATGTCTAGTATCTAGTACTTACATTTCAAAATTGATTACAGTAACTATTAGTGTCTACTCTTTATTTTAAAAGATATATTTGGGCTGGAGAAATAGCTGAGCAGACTAAGTGCCTGCTTAGGCAAGCTCAGGGACCGGCACTGGATACCAGGCACCACGTGCCACGCTGACCGCAGCCTGGGTGCTCTGAGCCTGCTGACACAGGTCGTGGCGATGCACGCCGATAACCCCAGCACTGGGGGGGCGAACATCGGAGGATCACTATAAGTCAGAGCTGTGTCCAAGCTGTGTAGTGAGACCCTGTACTAAATACATAAAAAGATATATTTATTGATAAGACATATTCTTATAGTCCAAATATCATAGATTAACTACAAAAATCAACTTTTCGAGGTTGCTGTTCTAAATTTTAAAAAAATACATGAAGAGGAACTAAAGCAGGATTCATTCTTGAAGAAGTTCTTTGAAACTACTGAGACTTTCTCTAATTAAAAGGGTAAAAGGATTACGGATTATGTATAAGTTGTAATAACTAAGGACAACTCTACATTAAAACAATTTTTACATAACCTAATTCAATATGAAATATTTGTAATTGCTTTTAGTTTTTATAATTGATGTTATTCTCATTGCAGAACAAGGTTTTTATTATTCTGAATGTGTTTAATGTGGTGATACTCTTAGTCCAGTATGTTCATTGAATCATTGTTACCCGTAAGCGACCCCAAACACTTACATAATTCACCTGTAAACTGTCCTTGACTATTGGAGCCCATATACCCTATGTCAAGAAGGTCGCTGGCATTGCGCTGGTGGCTTCCTCTCAACACCTCGGCTTTCCTGGGTCCAGTGGACCCTTTTGAGGAAGATGTTCCTGATGAGCTGTGGCCACCAGGGGATGGGAAGCTGGGCTTGCTGTAGGGTACCAGGGCCTCCTCTGAAAGAGAGAAAACACAAAAGGCTAACTTGAACTACAACATGTGGCCAAAAGAGAAATATTATGCTCAGAATGGACCATTTTATTATTTCATTCTTCAGCAAAATTAAAATTATGAGGTTTAATCAGGCCCGGATATTAAAGGAATTTTCACACACAAGCAACATTTCCTACAATAGGAACTGAAGCAGGATTAAATTAAAAGAGATCTTGGGATAAGTATGTGATGTTGTTATATATCATTTTCAGAATTTAAATTCATTACAAAAGAGAGCTGTATACAATGAACCATAGTTTGCTTAACAAAAAGCATATCTGGGGAATGTTTTTAGTGAAGCTCCAATTTAATTTTCCCATTAAGATTGTAAAAGCATGATTTTTATTTTAATTTATATTACAGCAACATTTTCTCAATCAATTTAAAGAACTCTGTATTAGATAATTAAATAAACTTCTTGAATTTCTTTTTTCTTGTGATATAAATATATTGGAAACATTGTGTATTCATAAAAAAAAGAGAAACCCATTTATTTTAACACATGTTACAATTCTTTGAAAATATTGTCTTTCTACAAATGACTCATGACTTATATTACTAAATAATTACCTAATACTTTGAAACTTTCTCTTTTTGTTTCTTCTTATATTCTCCTACTTTCATTCCCACCTACTTTCTCTTTCAATGTTTCTTTGTTTCTAGGTACAGTAGCCATTATTGTATTATTCGATATATAACAAATGATGACTGAATTTACACGGATTTAATACAAGAATGATCTACTTTTTTCTCTCATAGTTATAATGATGTAACCTTCCTAAATGTTTTACTAGATCTAGATATTAACACTGTTATATTCTGACCCTGTAAAATTAAATTTTCCAAGCATTTGAGGACAAGTTGCGGCAAAACATAATTATGGAAAATGTGTAGTGAGAGGATATATCTAGAAAAGACTGAGTCTAAATGAATAAAAGAATGGACACAGAAAGATTTCCAAGAACTCTGTGTATGTATACAGGTGTTAGTACCCAATGAACCCAATTGTGAGATGCTCCCGAAAACATATTTCTATGACAGGCTCAATAATGCACCCCACTAATATCCAAGCAGAAGTTATAACACGTTTCTTGCATCATCTCCTGGAAGCTTGATTTATCAACAAGAACATAATCTGAGAGTTAACAATGAATTGCATTTCATCATTTGGAGAAGTTATAAATCCAGTTTATGCTTTTCCAACATGAAGACTTTCATTGGACATTTACTTGTGATTCTATAATTTTAATCAGGTGCCCTATTTGACTGAAGCGAGTTATGCTTTCAAATTATTTCTTACTTCAGTCAAAATGAGCATAACTGCTGAAAGAAGTAATTGGACTGACACAAAGGATGAATCTTAGTCTTAAAAGTACTCAATATAAAGATTACAAAAGAAAAAAATCAAATTGTTTCCTATTGCTGTTTTGTTTGGTTGGTTTTGGTACTGGGAATCAGACTCATGACCCTGCGCTTGCCAGGCAAGTGCCATGCTGCTGAGCTCTTCCCCCAGTATTACTGATAAAGACTGGGGGTCTCTTGGACTCAAATAGCCTATAGATATATTAACGAGGAGTAATCCCCATGACAATCATTCTTATGGCATAGGCCAATGAGCTCTGCTGAAGAATTCTGACTCCAAAAGCCCTTACACAAATTCCATTTCTAATATACTTAGTAGGAAAAAAAATGGTAACAGTCCACACTTTCTTGGGACTGTGCAGAACACACCTGATCCAACACCTTGTTTGTGTGGAACTTTCCGTGTATCTTCTTGGCGTTCTGTGGAGTTTATCCATTCCTGGGTTTGTCGCTGCCACTCTAGAGAGGTTTTAGCTGGACACTCCAGTGAGCTCTTTGTGTCTTCTAAGTTGGATGCGTGTTGTCTCTCTAGAGAGCTTCCTTTTCTCTCTGTTGAGTTTTCCACGTTACCAGAATGCTGGCTCGGGCCTATTTGCTGCCTTAAACCCTGACCTGGCGGGGGATCTGGTGGTGGTGGAAGATCTAAAAATTTTGAATAATGTTTAGAATGGACTAAAATGTAACGAAAAATACAAGTTTTAGTTCAAGTTGAAAAAAAAAATACCCTTGCCCTCATACAAGTATCACCCATTCAAAGAAAATCTGGGAAAAATAAAAGTGAATTATTGATATCCAAAGAGCACATTACTGACCTCGATGCCATTGTCCCCCACAGTATTATTGAAATAAAATTGACTGGTGTTATGCAATTGATAAACACAGAAAATGTTTTGAAGTACACACTGAGGCTGACATGCAAGGTTAAAGGACAGTCATGGTTCATTCATTTCATTGCTGACCTCCTTCAAAGTAAAAATGCTATCACAAAAAAATATCACTTGGAATTCTACCAGCTGTGTTAATAAAAGTCACTGAGAACAAATCTGTCCTGCCAATCTCCATAGGAAATTTCACCCTTGGGAAATTAAGAAATACATGCTGTATCATACAAAACATATGACTGCCTGTATGTACGTAGGTGGCATAGTTAGCAATAGTCAAAGGGTTAAGCTAACATTTATTAAATATAATTAACATTCGGTGTGACAACCAATTCTGGCTATTCGTTTCATGAGTTAGCTAATGGGTTACAACTAATATATTATAATCTTCTAATGTATTAATTTTAATAAGTAATAACCAATGTTCACAGTACAGACTGAATCTGCTGGAGCAGGTAGTATACTACAGAAATATGAGATGTGGTAGAATACATAATTTTTCAGGTAACCTGTTAAAATTAAAAATTGAAAATGAAAAAATTATAAGTTCAAGTATAAGCTAATTTTTCAGTTCACTTTTTTAGCTCTTTAGATCTTCACCTTTGTATTTTTAATATATTCAAGAAATTATATTTCCTTCTGTTAATAGGTATTATACAAGCTTTGAAATCACTTTACTGAAAAATGTAAAACTTCTAAATGTTAATTTAAACCAAGTTTTAAGAACTTTTCTTGAATGCTATTTTAAACTTCTTTGTTCACCTTGAAGGTATTTATAATTATATTATTTATTAAAAACAATAAAATACCAATGCTATATACTTATTTCTTGTTTCTAGTAATATTCTGTTTATGAAATTTAAAAGGAAAATGTATACATTTTTACCTGAAAAAGATAGCTTCTTGGAAATAAGGTTATGTTGCTAGTTTTAAGTTGTATTCTTTGTATTATGAACTGAAAAGTTTTATTCTTCATTGAGCAGATAAAAATGAGCATTTATTCTGGAAATTTTAAATTGAAGAAGCATTTTTTTTCTTATGCATGTCCTCAAAGTTACATTATGAATTATTCATTACTGAAGAAGACATGGCCTCTGTCTAAGGCAATAAAGCTGTTTTTCAAATGTTTCTTTTAAAAAGAAGAGGTAATACAATATTGAGATATAAGTAGTGAAGTAAGCTTATTTACATTCAATACTGACTTTATTCCCTATACATTATTCTATATGCAAATTTATTCTTTAATTTGATTTATTGGACTTAGACTGTCATTGAGGAGAAATTACTATATTTGCTTCTGAAATAACATATCTTGTCATTGATTTTTATTCTCCATCAGAGCAACTTAATTTTTAAAATGGCCAAAATGGAATCTGTTATGTCAACTAACATTCTGATGGCTATTTAAGCTGAAACTTTATAGCTTCATAATTAAGTAATATCCTTGTAGATTGTATCAACTAATAAGAAGAGATATTGTATGCAAACTGAAATAAATAAATTAGAGAAATGGAATTACAAATGGTTATAGAAAAAAATAAAAGTATGTAATCAAATACTTTTCCCTAAATTAAATTTATTAGTCAATTCTATGTTGATTCATTTCAACTAAATCAATTTACTAAAGAGTATCTTACTGGCATCCTGAGAATTAACTGTTGTTAAGCAACAGCAGTCCACCGAAATAGATGCCGCTATTGTCTTCATTTCATGCATAAGAAAATGGGGTACAAATAAATTAAGAACAGTATGTTCAGCCTGGGTCTCTCTTCCAGTGAGTTCCAGACTTATAACCAAATGCACTCTGGAAATTCCTTGAAGTTAGATATTAGGAATACACTCCAGAATTAGTTACTTAGTAGAATCCTCAAATTTCACATATCAAAATTGAGCTACGAATAATTATTTATGAAGTATTCTTCTTCTGTAGGGCTTCTCCTCTCAATTAGTGGCAATTTTCTCTTGTGTGAGAACTATTAAGTAATCTTTCATTTCCTTGCTTTGTATCCTAGATTAATTTCATAAAGAAATTCTTACCTCTGGAGTGCACATTTTTTCCTTGCTTCTAGAATTCTACCTCGGTATGATCTGCCATCAGTTATTCCTTACACGCTTCCATATTGTCCTATGTATTCTGTTTTTGTATCCCATTTAGTACACAGCACTTAGTATACAGTACTATTCCCCAATTAATACAGAGCAACACAACTACCAGTATGAACTTTTCAAAATAAAAACACATAGAAGATCATGCCACTCCATTCCCTTTAACACATGCACATACACACAGCTCTGAGTTTCCCATTCCAAGTCCTCTAGCCTAAGCATGCTCACATGCTGGCCCTTGTCTGCTCACCTGCCTCCACACTTTATGCTGTTGCTCTGCCTGCTTCGGCCACACTGCTTCCCTGAATTTTTAGTCAAATGAGCCTCAGTCCTTCACTTGCTGTTTTTATTTCCTGGAATGACCTGGCCTTAAATAGCAAGCATTCTCTCTTCACTTATTATTATGGTTTGTGTCCAGTTGTCCCCTCAACTAGAGCAGCCATTGGAGCAGCTTCTAGAATTTGTGATTAATTCATGATCCAGTGTTTAGAATACGGGTCTGAGTGCTACACCCACCCTGGAGTGGATGATATGCATACAATGTAAGGAAGGGAGAGAGGCTAGCTACCACTGGCTGCCACAGCCACTGCCCCTCCCTTTGCTCTTCGCTGCTTTCTGCTGCCATGAACCGATGCCGTCTGCCATGTGCCACTCTGCCTTGCAGCTAGCCGAGTATGGACTGAAACCTCCATTAACTGTGAGCTAAGTAAACCTTTCTTTCCTTAATTTGGGATGTTGGGTATTTTGTTCCAGCAAAAGTAACCAAGATAGTTATATTCTTCAAATCTTTTCACAAACACCAGTTTGTAAATGAGATTTACCTTAAGAATTCTACTTGAAAGCAGCTTTTCCTGAACCTATTTCTGAACTTCCTTCCCTTTGTTTTTACCCAAGGTAGTGATTATACTGTTACATGCTTTGCACTTTAACTGTTATATATGTGCCTATCTTCGCCCAATTGAATGTACGTCTTAGAGAACCAGGGAATTTGTCTATTTTGTTTCTATTGACTATCGCATAATACATGCTTACTATATTTAAGTGAATAGATTAATAAATACATGGATTTGTTCAAAGGTCAAAGCTAGTACATGGCAGATCTAGGAAAGAGCCTCTTCTCTGAATAAGGTGTTAAGAACAAACAAAAAGGGAGAACAGGTTGGAAGGTCATGGACTAGAAACAAAACATATATCTATCGGATAGATATCTTTCTTCAGCATTGGCGAATGTACTGGCTTCAAAGATTACTCTTTAACTTACTGTGTAAATAGACAGAAGATCTGTATTCAGAGAGGCTAGTTAGGAGAAACTTTACACAAGATAATACTCCTTAAATGTATCTAAATTTTTTGGCAGTCTTTGGAAAAGTGAATAATATTTCAAGTCATTTCCAGTTCCTTCTGTGGGGCACAGAGATTACCTTCCTACCCCAGAAGTAAGTCTGATACAATGGGATTCTTACCAGTGAAATGGGAAAAGCGACATGTGACCTCGCCATGAAAGCCTTCCAAAGATCACTTGGGTTTCTGTTTCCCTCTTGTGAAGAAACCATAACGATTCAATCATGAAAATAGTGGCATTCCCATACTGAAAAGGTCTGTGTACTGACATCACTGCTCAGAGGAAAGACACATGACCTTGGTAGCTCATGGGGTCAATGTGAGAGAAATTTTCACTGTGCTAAGACTGAGGGCTAGAGGTTGTTTGGTAAAGAAACTAGAAATAATTATCTTAATTAATGTAACTGTAAAACACTATTATATTACTATGCAGAAACCTTCCCAATTTGATTTTATGTAAAGATACTTCAAATTATTCTCGACATATAGATTCCTATCATAGAAATGTTGTGGCATAAGCCACAACATTTATTGTCATAAAATAACAATATTCTTAAGGATAATTGATAGGGCAGTGTTTAAAAAAATGTACTTGTATTGGAATTATAATGTCTTTTGCTTGAACATTTTTGAAAATATGTGAGCCAATATTTCCTTTCAAATGTAACTATTTCTAAAATATTTTATGTTTATTAATAACATGTTTATTAATAACATATTTATTAATAACATGACCTATCACCATTTTTTAGACTACTGGTATAAGTAAACATGTGGTGATCTAATTTTTATAAAGATAAGCAATATGTTGATTATGATTTCAACTAGGAAGAAAACTATTTGATGAAAATTTACAGAAATATCTTAAAAGAAAAAATATAATAGGAATAAAAAAAACTTTCTATTCTGTTGATTTGGATTTTATATTATCTACATCATCTTCTAGATATAGTTTTCATCCATTCCTGAAAAAAACAAAGAAAATTGTCACCTAATTTTTTCTTTCATGCTATTCTGGGAAAAATATGAAAAAATATTAATTCTTAGATTTATAGCTACTTTCTCTATGAGAAATTTCCTTTTATTAAGAGAGAATAATAATAACCCAGACTAAGTGCTCAACTAATCTTCAAAACAGAAGCAGAAAAGTAGTGGTAAGCATCTTTGTTCACCACAGGATAGCCTTTTACAAAAAAATAAAACTAAAGGCCGGTGAGATAGCTCAGTGGTCTAAAGTGCCTGCTAGACAAGCTTAGGCAACTGCTGGGGACCGTATTTCGATCCCTGACACCACATGCTGTGTCAGCCCCACCCCCAGGGCTGGCTGAGCTGGCCAAAGAAATTTAAAAAAAAGAAAAATAAATAAAAATAAAACCTCCATTATAACCTTAATGCTATATAATAAAGAAATTGTCAGATAAAAACAGAAAAAGGCAGAAAAAATAAGTAAACTGAAAGCTTTTACAATAAGCATGTTTGGATTTTAAGTCTGAAAAATGTAAGCTGATAAAAGAAACTGGAAAGATGACTGCCAGATGGTGAATAATTCTCCCTTGAAACACAAGCACTTGCTTATTTTCCAACTAGAACTTCCATAACTTCATTATGCCTTGCAGTAATAAGTCTAAGAGTGTTAAGGATTAAATTATAGTTTCTCTAATGCCCCCTGAGCTTCAAAAATGTCCATAACTGGGTTTTACACCAGGATAATTTGAATCTCCAGGGAATATTTTCAGATTTCCTTAAATGGTTCTAAGATTCAGTTTGGCTAACTTCATCCTCTTGGTGTTTAGTAAAACAATCTCAGGACTAAGTTTATATGCTTGTAGGAGAAGGAAAAAGAAACTTACTATTGTACCTAACATTACATTTGGAAGATTAATTATATTGTTACCTTTTCTTAGAATAAATCTTAATACTTTTATTCATTCTTTAAAAGACAAGAATTATGTGGCAAATAATTAGGAAAATGTGGAGAACAGTTTGTGTTCTATGGAACTAATGAAGTAGTAATATTGTTTCTAAAACTGGAAGTTTTGAGGCAAATATTCAAAGATTAGATATACAACGATAAAAGTATTGAAACATATCAGCAAACTATGGCCTATAGGCCAAATTCAAGTACTACCTGTTTTTTCAATAAAACTTTATTAGAACTCAATTGCACCTCTGTTGTTGTTGTTGTTGTTGTTGTCTTTACTTTCCCAATAGCTATACTCAGGCATCAATGAAAGCATTAATTAGCTGAGATAGAGACCATGTACTCTCAAAACAAAAAAATGAAAGTTACTGTATGGATTTTAATGGAAAAGTCAATTACTGACCCAGTTTTATGGCCTGAATGATTTTATTCCCCTAAATTCACATGCTGAGACCCTAACTTCCTATACGATGGCACTAGGAGGTGCAGGCTGTGGACGGTGATGAGGACATGAAGACAGATTACTCAGAAAAGGAATTAGTGTCTGTGCACAACACATCCAGTCAGATTTCTTCCACCATGTGAGAACACACTAAGAAAGCACCAGAAAGGTCACACCTTCAGCTTGGACTTTCTTGATTCTGGAGCTGTGAGAAATGTCCGATGTATTTAAGGCTATAATAGTTACCACAGTCCAATCTAGCATAAGCCATTCTTCTTCAACTACATGAGCATTCCTTCAGCCCTGACCTTCATGAAACTGAAAAATTATTTCAAAATCTCTTCCAAAAGTAAAATATTATGTAAGGGATCATAATTTAGTAGTGTAAGTGTTCTGATACTAAAACAAGTGCACATGCTGTTTATGCTTTCTTTAAAGAGAAACGTTCACTTTCTTAAAATGAAATGTTTTCTAAAAGTACTACACAACAATGCCAGACAGGTAGAGATATCAACACTAAAAAGTGGTAAGGTGTATTTTTCTTGAGGATTTTTAATATGGAAGTAGCTTCAGATTGTTGAAAATAGGCTGTTTTATTTAAATAATATGGCTGGACTTCTGCCTTGTTATATCAAAAGGCAATGCCTAATCTATCAAAGTTATTTTCATCTAGGTTTCAACATTGCAGAGCACATTTCTTCAGTAAGAAGGCCAGAGGAAAGGAAATGAGCCTACCATCTGTCATTCCTTCCCTTCGGTGAGGCAGTGCTGGCTGCTGGTCCATTCGCCCTCCCTTGTGTTTTTTGGTGGGCCTAGGCCTCTGACTTTGATTCAGGGCCGCACTGGTACTACCGTCAGTTGAAAATGGGCTGGTGGGTCGAGGTCTTTGAGAAGAGGTAAAGGCTTTTCCTAAAAAGAAAAAGAGGGAATGGAGCACAAAAAATGTCATTAGAATGACAAATACTCAATTCATCATGTATTTCTGCTCTTATTAAAACTAGTCTGTGAACCTACCTAGTGATTCTTTCTGAAGGTATCAAATATTAATGCATCTCTGTATGGTCCTGCCATGCATAATTTGCCCAAATTCTAATATAATGGAAATGCCCCATGTACCAGATAGTATTTCAAACAAATGAACATAAGCAAATACACCAACCAAAACTCATTATCCTTGATTATATTTTTATTCAACCTTGAAGATCTTAGTGAGACTTTCATAGATATATAAATATTCATGCAGCATGTACTCTTCTAAAGAATCTATTTCTAAAATGAATTGTGTGCTGTCTTACTTGTTTACTCAAATTTCATCCTTGGAATGTTATACACTTCCTCTGAAAACAGAAAACAGGTCTAGTGATAATTGTATTTGAAATGTTACACAAAATATCTACTCAGATACATATATTCAACTGACCCTACCAAGAACAGTGTGTACATGGTGTATTCTACCTTCATTTTCTATGAGAAACTCAACAATATCAGGAGACAGCAGGTTAAAATGACCTTGTGTATCCAAGCGCAATAGATGTTCTCTGAAGAACATTATTTGTATCTGAGTAGATTCTAAATTCTCAGTGAAAAGTAAAATATGCTATTTTCTTTGTGATTTAATATAAATACAGAGGAATTTATTCTAAGGCAAGGTTAGCTAATAAATTTTCAGCAGCTTATTATTCTAATACTTTGTTTATTATAGCAAAAGAGGCCTTGTTTATGTGCATGTGTTTATTTTCTCGTGCATGTTTTTATTCCATATAAAAGTACTGTACATAGTTACATTTTCTTAAGACAGTATGACATGATATTGCTAATGCTTTATTAGCTATTAGCATGCATGCAAGAAATGCATTTTCGCCTTCATATTTATTAGTTTCCTTGCACTTTCTCACTGATCTGTTTACAGTTAATGCCACAAAAAGCACTCAGGCAACATAAAGTTTTTGTCTTATACTTTATAAAGTCATAAAATTCAAATAACAGTTAACTTACAACATATTTTAGTTTAGATGCTACATGAAAATAAACCTATGCAATGCTTCAAAAACATTTTTTATTTTGTTTGAAAACTACTTAATCCAAGCTCAAAAGTAATACTGATGGTATTTTAAAAGCAACTTCCAAGATTCATTTTTTTATGACTTGAAAGTTTAGCAAAGGGTCAAAATCATTTTTATTTGGTATTTCAATACTACTAAGCTTTTAAAAAATGCACTCATGTTAGTTTTATTACTTTGTTTTGGAATACATCTCGGTTTGATTTATGCATCACTTTCCTATGTGTACACTTAAGATGTATTCACACAAATATAAGGATATACATCGTGTAAAGATTACTTTAATTCCTGCTTTATTTATTTATTTAGTACTGGGGATTGAACTCAGGACCTTGCCCTTGCCAGGAAATACTTATATCACTGAGTTGTCTCCCTGACCCCTACTGATCTATTTTTAGAACTAATCCTGCATTTCTTTCTCTGAGGAATAAGCAACACATGCAAAATTACATAACGGACCTCTTGTATTATTATTGATTCTTAGAAATAAAATTTAAATTGGTCTACATAGCAATAACTTGTAATCATCATTTTATTTAACTTGCAAATGCAGTAGGCTTATCTTTAATTAGCATCCTTTAAATCATATAATCAATTATTGTATTAAAATCTGAGCCAAACAATTAATATGAACATCAGTTATTTGAACTGTTAGACCCACAGCTTTAGGCCCATTCACCCCATGCTGAGGAAACATTCCCAGAAAAGGCATTTGCAGAAAGAGATGGGGCAAAGAAAAGTAACAGAGATAAAAGCTGAATGATTTTAATCACTAGGTTCATTATTGATTTGTAAGGATTCTGCAAAGTGTGAGTTATTGAAAATTTAATGACAATCTTAGTTTCTGCTTTGTTGTAATATAAAAAGAAAGCATATTCCAATTAATCAGCAGACCCATGAAGAGAAAGGGATTAGACAGTGGCAAGTAGACTATTTTTGGCTCTATAAAGCTAACATCAGGAGAGAGTTCGGGTAACAGAGCTTCCAAACTGCCCATGCATATTAAAGACAACTCTGCAGTCAGACTCTGAGAAGAAAGCATAGGAGAAAAAAAGTCAGTGTCCAAATGACAGGATTCTCTCATGCAAAGAGTGTTGACTTGGTTTCTACCAACCTGTTCTTGTAAGGCTGGTTCCATCCAGCCTAAAACCAGCTTTATCTGCTGCTGCCACCAGTGCTTGTGCAAAACTGCCGCTGGCAAAGATGGAGCCATCTGAGGAGCTACCTACACTAGATCTATGACTAGAAAAGTTATGATCCTCATCAGATGCAGAGCCCCATCCATTTACCATTGAACCTAAAAACAAATGTAGTTGTCTAGTGAGTTGTAAGCATTGGATATCTTATCTTCTTGAACATACTATACTAAGGAGTAAGAGGCTGCCTTAACACCTCAGTTCATCTTTGAAATTTCACCCTGAATTCGTTAGCCAAATATTCATACTTTAAATATTCTCAGTGTAACAAAAAGAAGAACAAAAATAGTAACATTCCAACTTTAGAAGAATGATGCTATTTCAAAACCTGTATCTGTTTGCAACAATGAACAAAACATGTTATTAACAGTTCAATTATTAAAGTCTTACATGACCAGTTGTAGAAAAAGATCTGTTATACACATTAAATTTCTATGATTCAAGGAATAATATTTTATTAATGAGTGTTTTGGAAACATCAAGGATTTAGTTGAAAAACTAATGTAAATATATTTTAAAGTTAGTTTAGACGTTAACAATATAATCATAATAAGTACTTGTATCGCAGATATTATATATATACTACTCCATTATCAAAGATATAGTTATTTCAAGATTTAAAAAAATCATCACTTGAGAAATAGCAAAGTCAGAAACAAAATTTTATAAATGTTATTTTTAAAGAGAAAGAATAAAAATAAAACTAGATAGTAAGTTACAATAATTAATAAATTGTGTATTGTTGTCTTTGTAGTAGTTATTCAGAGTACAAGATATAGGCATTATAGGGACCTGCCAAATAGCTCAATGGATTAAAGCTCCTGCAAGCAGGCACAAGGGCCAGGGATTCGATCTCCGAGCCTGCTGTGCCGTCCCCACCCCCAGGGTGCCCTGAGATGGCAACTGAGACTGGGCGTGGTGGCATGCCTGTAATCCCAGCTCTTGGGAGGCTGTAAACAGGCAGATCACTATGAGTCTGATCTAGTAGTGAGACCTTAAATACTCTGTAGGCCCTTCCCCAAAATAAAAAAAAAAGGATATAGGCATTAGATCTTGTCCAAACATTAGCACAATCCTTTTCTTTTCAACAGACTAAGAGAAACTAGCTGTATAACTATCTTAACTATTAGGTGCATAAGATTTTTTTTCTTTGTCCCTTTCTTCCTAACAATAAATGCAGAACCTAAGAAAAATGTGTTCTATAAAAGTTTTATTAATTCCAACACTCATTATGCTTTCTTTCATTTTAATCACTTGAAAAATTCCAGTTATTTCTTTAATACTAAACTAATCTTTAATATATAACTGTTAGTAAGTGTGCCACAAGAGTAATATGGATTTCTTTTTCTGTAAAAGCAACATGGCAATAGTGGAAAATGATTTTAGATTTATGTGTAAGGAACTGTTAATTTTGAACTTACCAGCAAAAGCTTATTCTTAACTTTTCAGAAAGTCATTAAATATTTTACATTTTTTCTTACAAAAAATCATACTAGAAACTTATTACTTAATACATTAATATTACAATATTTACTTAAGTTCTTATACTATTTATGGATGATAATATAATACCACTCTAATTATTTTGATTTTTTTTTTAGGAAAGGGAAAAATAGTATTTAGGAAAAGCTTGTTCAGAATTTCTAAAGAAAGCAAACACATATGCATGTGGAAGAAGTGAAAATCAAATGCTATAGACTATTTCTCCTTGGCTTCCATATTTAAGAAATAGCACTGTAGCTACTAGGATTTGGGCCATGCTGTACTTTGGATTTGCAGTCAAGGTGCCAAAATAAAGTAACACGGATTCATGGTTCGTGCACTCCAAAGATAGAGATGACAAAAATTGAAGGGGTTAGAATGATCCGAGAAGTTAACAGCGTGTTAAGTGTAGCAGAGAAAGATAGAGTTTTGATTCTGCTTGCCAAAGACACCCTTTACTTTCCAAACTGATTCCCTTGATACAGGCCACTGCAAGGAATTGGAGATAAAACCAGCAACCAAGACTCCTTGGAGAGATTCATTTCTAGGTTAATAGTCACAAGTCAAGGACCAACAGCTCCAAATGAAAGAAGAAATGATGCAATAGGCCTTGTGATATAATGCTTTGATAGATAAGAAAAATCAAAGTGATTCAGTCTGGGGGCAAAAAAGACACTCTAGACCTTAGAATAGTTTTAAAGCATTTGAAAGCCCAGTTCAATCCTTTCCATGTCCTATTTTCTGTTTTTCTAAATGCTCTCCCATTCTACAAACAAGCAACTCTTTATTCTTTGGCTCTCAACTCCTGGTTTACTTCTAATTCCATCCTTCTGGTCCATCTTTCTGGTTGTTAGCTGAATTATCTTTTGGAAATGCTTATAATTCTCTTTTACTAATTCATTTAAAATCTTACCTAGTCCATCAATGCCACATCCAAACTGCTCCTTGAGTTCCTTGAGACCTTTCAAAATAAGACCAGTCACCCTCATCTGTTCTGCTCTGCCCTACAGCCAGGGTGGTCTTTTCCCCACATATGCATCACCACCCATTCTGTGCACATACTTCCATCTGCCTAGCAATGCTGTTAACCACTGCCAAAGTATGCAGTCTACCTGAAATAACCTCTACCTCACTGACTTAGTTCTCCTTCACTCTACGGAATGCTGTGCCC